AAGAGGTCAATTCGTTCCCAGAAAATAGAAGAAAATGACAGAGGAGTGATGAAGTTTTGAGAATTCAAGATCACAATTTCTCCTCAGGCCTGTCCTGTGATTCCTGTGGCCACACCATCATGTCCGATTCCATGCTCAGGCACTTACAAGGATAAAGGTTGACAAAGACAAAAAAAAAAAAAACAACTATGCCAGGGTCGGTAATCAGGACAAGCTCTCCTCCTTGGGGTCTTGCTTCCCGGCTAGTGACCCTCTTTTCCCGTCCCATACTCCTCCTCTGGACTCTCTTCTTTCCTGTTGATAGAGGAGCTATTCTCTCAGTTGATGCCTCACAATCTGCTTAGTGGAGAATTCAGTGAACTCAGAGGGATTCACACAGTCTGGGTACAAATCCCATCCAGGCTGTGTGTGCCAAGCTGTATTTTTAGAATAACCAGGACTTAGCCCAAGGATCACCCATACAGAGACTTTGTACAGGTGGGTGGACACAGTCCTGAGAGCACACAGCTTGATGAATTGAGTGCAGGGTGAAATTTGGGCCCTGCGACTCCCACTCCAGGCACCCCTGTGCTGTCTACGAAGTTTGCCCAGGTGGACATACAACAAGCTGCCGCACCCAAGAGACATCGAGTCACCCCTGCTTCCTCTGAGCGCTCCTTCTAGGAGACTTTGGGCAGGCAGAAGTCAAGGCTGGCTTGCCACACGGATACTCTAGGACCAAGGACCTGGACGTGCCCTGGCACGCTCGCCAGTCTCCCAGGCTGTCACCACTGTCCGGGGAAGAGCTCCCACCACAGGTGTGCCCAACCTTTCCTCGTGTTCTTGCCAACAGATGGCAAGACAGTGTCCCTACTCACCTGCTACTGGGATCAGACTTCATATTCTCATTGTGGTCAAGTAGACACAACACAAACTTTACCATTTTAACCGTTTCTGAGTGTATGACTCAGTGGCATTAAGTACATCCAAGTTGTTGTGACACCATCCCCACCACCCATCTCCAGAACTTTCTTATCCTTCCAAAGCAAAACTCTGGACCCTTTGAACACGAACTCCCCATCTCCCTCTCTCTCTGTCCCTTAATATTAGATGGAACAAGGATAACAATTTTGAACATTGTTCATTTCTTGTTGACTGTCTTATCAGCAACCTTCCCTTGATCCAACCAGAAGTCACCGCCCCCTAGTTTTGTGACAGATTCCTGCCTGGCCAGACTTTCCCTTATCTGCTGAGGACGCCCCACAGTGGGACCCCAACAGGAAAGCAAGAATATCTGCTGTGTAAGGGCAGGGTTTTCATGGGAGAGGAGAGAGTTTCCGGAGGACTCTGGAAGCAGGTCTTGTTCAAGAGCTTTGTGTGGGAAGCTTGGCATTTTCTTATCAGCCCAGCAGTAAGGAGGGGAGATGTCCCCTGAGGTGGCAGCACAGGCAGGAGTGGGAGACACCCGTCTGCCCACATTTATTCTTAGGCCTGGGCAGTGGGAACGAACCTGAGAATTGTTATCATTTTTCTAACAGGGTTGTTTGCCCCTTTCTTACCAGTCGTGGAGAACTTTTTGAACACAATGGATCAGAATCCTTTACCTGCCAAAAGCACTGAGAAGGTTTATTTCCCACAGTCTACTTCACCCTTTAACTTTATTGATTTGCCAGAAAAAATTTTTTACAAATTTTTAGGTTATCAAAGGGGTATGCTTTCTGTGAAAACTCCTGGGGATTTCTATCATGGTTTAAGAGGTTTTCTTTGTTCCAAGATTATTTAAAATTAAATTTTTCTGAATTCCCACTCAAGATACACAGTGACTTTTGTTTATTTATTTTTTTGAGCTGGAGTCTCACTTTGTTGCCCAGACTGGAGTGCAGGGGCATGCTCCCAGCCACCACAGCCTTGACCTGCCGGGCTCCGGTGATCCTTCCGCCTCAGCCTTGCAAGTAGCCAGAACTACAGGCATGTGCCACCACGCCCGGCTAATTTTTGATTTATTGTAGAGACGAGGTCTCACCAAGTTTCCCAGGCTGGCCTCGAATCCACTGGCTCAAGCAATCCACTCACCTCGGCCTCCCAAAGTGCTGGGATTACAGGCTGAGCCACCGAGCTAGCCTACTTTTGTTTTACAATTAAAACATTTTATCCATTTGTTTTGGGGCTATGTAGGGAGAAGGAGACCGACATTCTTGACTTCCAGGAAAATGGCAAGTTGTGCCAGATGCATTTTCTAAATAAATTTTGGCAGTCTAATATCTTTGATTTCTCTATGAAAAGTTTATCTCTTTCTTTTTTAAAGCCGGATTTATTGAGAGGATCGAAAAGCACCCACAATTGAAGGGAACCTGAAAGGGTTGCCCTCTTTCTTTTTAGTACCATATGATTGTTGCTACTCATCTATTGTCGTATGTTGCAAATATTTTCTCCTCAGCTATCCATGGTCTTTTGCTTTTTGGTGTGTTGTTTTGGTTTTGATGTAGTCACATCTTCTTTATATGAGGGAGGACAAAAAAAAAAAAAAAATCCACACATGAAATTATTTTTTGGAGGACAGGTTCCTTTCAGTACAGGTTTCCCCTGCTAGGTAAGTATTCTAGAAACCCACTGGCATCCGTGTAACAACTTGCATTGCTGTGAAAGGTTGGTTTCACTTCAGTGAATTTTTGTTGTTGTTGGAGAATCTTTCAGTGTGTTTGCCCATTTCACGATGGATGATTTATGAGCACACTTGCACACACTGCGCTGAGTGTTCAGCGGTTTTTGACCAAAACTGGCACGACCCCTGTGCCCCACCCTCCCTATTCCCCTGATCTCACCCCAAACGACTTTTTTGTTTCCCTAGATGAAAAAAGCCCTCAAAAGGAAACATTCGCCAATGTGGAAGAGGTAAAACAAAAAACAGCAGAAGCACTAAAAAGCATCAAAACTGATGATTGCAAAAACTGTTTTGAGCAGCAGAAAAAGCGACTTGATAGATAAATGGCATCAAACGAAGAGTCCTTTGAAGGTGACTGAAGTTTATATGTGTAAGAATAAATATACAATTTTTGATTAATAAATTCTGGGTTGGGGGGGTTCCCCCCTTGTATCTTTTGCTTTATAACTTTTGGTTTCATTTAAGGTCATAAATATATTCCCTTCTATCTTTTGTGATGGATTGATTGTTTTTTGCACTTAATTCTATAATGCACCTGGAATATGATGTGGGGTCAAGCTTTATTTATTTTCCCAAAGGAATTGTTAACTATCCCAGCACTAGTCATTCTTTCCCACTGATTTGGAACAGATTGTCTTATTCTCTTCTTTTTAAAAAGCACCTATTAGGCCAAGTGTGGTGGCTCACACCTATAATCCAAGCACTCTGGGGAGGCCAAAGCAGAGGATCACTAGAAGCCAGGAGTTCAAGACTAGCCTGAACAACATAGCAACACCCTATCTCTACAAAAATAAAAATTAAAAACGTTAGCTATCAGGAGGAAAAGGCAGAAGGGCTACCACGCCCAGCTAATTTTTGATTTATTGTAGAGATGAGGTCTCTCCAAATTGTCCAGACTGGTCTCGAACTCTAGGGCTCAGGCAATCCACTCACCTTGGCCTCCCAAAGTGCTGGGATTACAGGCTGAGCCACCACGCCCAGCCTCTCTCTCTTACTTTTTAAATAAACTATATTTTCTAATCTAACTTCTGTGCAATTCTTTGCATCTTTCACACCAGATTGCACACCAGACACTCACATTCCCAGGGGGTCTGACCTAACTTCTGGAGGTCCCACTGGGGTTGTAAGCTAATAACCACATTCATCAAAAGAGCAAGGCCACAGTTGAAGGTACCACCCCTCAGCTCTGCTTCCAGCAAGACCTTCTCCTCCTGCGTGTGTGCTCGAGACTACATGTGGCAAACACATCAAAACAAAGTTTCAAAATAAGATATTTCAAAGTGAAGATTTCAGTTTGAATCTTTGGGATATGTGTTTTAGATGAAGTGCTGAAGAGAGCATTAAGAGCCCATTGGATAGAATCCAAATTCTTCCTAGAAAAAGAAAATCTTGCTCCTTTTTAGGAGGATGAAACCTTTTTGATGATGTGTTAAAATTTCGCTGCTTCAGCCACAGCTGCCAAGCCATGGGAGACTGAGGAAAATGTTGAGCATGGAATGATACCCAGGTTGAAATATGTCTGTGGCTTGTGCAAACCACTCTGCCCTAAGCTAATGTGGGAAAGGAGAGCTTTGCTTCCTCCTTTGGCTTCTCCCATTCCCACCTCCACAACACTGCCCTTCCTCTTAAGCTAATGAGTTACTGTAACAGATTTTCTCATGTTGAATCATTCTTGAATTTCTGGGTTGAGCCGTTTTCCTGGTGCATCTTTGTTTTAAATGCTTCTGGATGTGATTTGTCAATATTTCAGTAAGGCTTTCTTTTGGCCTCCAGAATACAGACATTCAGAGCAATTCTTAAAAATGAGCTGAGATTTTGGATACATAACACCCCTCCCCAACCTGATATAATCTGGACACATGAAGAGTTATTTAACCAGCGCACTCTGCTTAAACCCTAGAATAGATTAAAATGTTTCCCCAAGATTAAGAGGTTGATAAAAGTAATTAATTTTCTTTTTTGAGAAAGATCATAAATTTTTAAAATATTGACTCCATTTAGTGTCTGGCTTGTCAATAGGCGATGACGTTTTCCATTCAAGCAGTGATTGGTCATGTAGTTTTAAATTCCTAAAAGAAACTCGAACAGAAATGTTAGCATTTAATAGCCATGAGATTTCTAATTCAAAACTTATCCAAAATAAGACACAAAAACTCTTCTAAGAAATCGTCAGCTATCTCTCGCCACACACACACATATAAGGGGGAAAATTAATCACCACAACAGAAAACACTAGGTTCCAATTTTAAGCCAAGACAAATTCTTAACTAATCTATGTCCTATGAATACTTAGATTGAAGGATTTCAAGTTTCAACTTTGCCTGCTGCTATTTATGACAGAAGACAAATCAAAGTCACTCTTTTCACAGGTAGGTTTTTATTTTTAGCTTTTTACATTGCGCACAGAATCACCTCTGACTTGTCCAACTGTCATTAGCAGTGTGCTGTTGGCCTTCCACATGTGATTAGGCAGATTTGCCTTTTGGGTTCTCATTACCACCATCTCCATTCATTGTTCATTTAGGGACCCAGGTACAAGGTGCGGGACAAAGAGAAGAGGGCTTGTGGGGTCAATCTCACTAGCTGCCCGCCTGGTTTTTCTTCACACAGGTGAGAAACTCCTGCACATCATCTGGGGACCCCAGAATGAGGGGGACACGTTGGTGTATAGCCTCAGGCTTCACGTCCAGTACAGGCTGGGTGCCTGTGGTCGCCAAGCCTCCTGCCTGCTCAATGATGTAAGCCACAGGATTGCATTCGTACAGGAGCCGGAGCTGTGGAAGAGCAGAGAGGAAGGTGGGTGAACTTGCAAATGGCCAAACACCCCGAAGCAAGCCCCTCAAGGTCAGGAGGAGTTTGAACTCCTGAGCTTCTGTCTGTCTGGTTAGTGTAGCCTCATGAGAGTGGACCCTGAGTTTTAGACTCTCTGGCCGCCTCGATGCATCAGTGGTCCTTATCACATATGTCACTGGGGGCCCTTCTGGTCAGGAGGCTGAGCCCTGAATCTATCGGTCTTGTGACCTGTGTGTTTATGAGAGACCTGCCTCTTGACTTGAAGATCTGAGACCTAGGTACCCATTTCTTGCTAATTCAACGATAAGGCAAATGATGCTACAGGCCTGGTTAGAAGCCTTTATAGGTGAGACCTCAAGGATGGTAAGGAGTCAAGCCTGGATGGGACTGTAAGGTCACCTTGAGCATGCCAGGTAGTCTTTCTGGGGATAGCCACAGTGGTTGGGGTCATGTCTAGGAACTCCTCATCTCAAGCCTCAACCTCGCTAAATGGTTTGCTGGGCCGGGCTCGGTGGCTCAGCCTGGAATCCCAGCACTTCGGGAGGCCGAGGAGAGTGGATTGCCTGAGCCCATGGGTTTAAGACCAGCTTGGGCAACTTGGCGAAACCTCGTCTCTACAATAAATCAAAAATGAGCTGGGCGTGGCAGCACGTGCCTGTAGTTCCAGCTACTTGGAAGGCTGAGGCAGAAAGAATCGCCAGCACCCAGCAGGTCAATGCTGGGGTGGCTGTGAGCATGCTATTGTACTCCAGCCTGGGCGACAGAGTGAGACTCCAACTCAAAAAAAAAATGGTTTGCTGATGTCTAAATGGTATCGTGTTCTGTCCCCACAGACTAAGTGAAATCCTGCAGCATGACACACTTCCATCTTCCTAACTGTCACCACACTGAGACTGTTTCACATCCGGTTTTCTCTCTAGGCCAGTGTCTGTTCTAGCTGGTCACTGTGGTGTCTCCATGCCCACTGGCACCTAACACAAGGAAAGTGAATGAGCAGGGCCACTGTCCTGAGTGAGGGTAGATATCAGCCGGGCCCTGCTTGCCAAGCTCTTTACTAGGACACAGGTCTGTGCTGTTCAGAGAAGAAATGCCTTTTCTAACTGCCCACAGGCACGTGGGAACCAGCAGGAGCCTGCCTTGTGTTCTGTAAATGCATGTTAAATTGAATCGAATGGAGTCGAACTAAATGTCCTTGTTGTGTCTATGTCTGTGATTGTGTTAGGACCTCCCTCCTTGCCTGACACTGGACACACACACCCCTAACACTGGACATACACTCCCCATCACGTTAGATCCAGGGGGACATGCTAGCTGGAGGCACTGCTGCTATGCCTGACTCCCCATCACCTTCCTTCTCTTCTCCCCATTGGTGCAAAATTTGTAATGGTCCAAAACAATTCATTCTTTGTTATCAGCTTGTAGGGTGTCTGAGCCTGCTCTTTGCAGCATTTGCCTTACCGTTCTTTTCTTCAAATCCATTTGAAGGTACGTCTAACCTACTTTGAGGAACAGTTATATATTGTGCTAATTTTACTATTGAAGGGTGGTACCTATAGAAACCTAGAAGAAACTTAGCTTATTCTTAGTTTAATCTTTTTGTCTTAGCATAACCATTAGAAAGCTTTCAGATATTCTACTGCAGGACAAGCAGCAGCCTGTCCCATCCCCCCTCAGCAAATCTCCCTCAGATGCAAGACCAGGACAGCCCAATCTTTCGATTCATGGTTTAGCATAATGATGTCTGGTAAACTTTTAGATTCCTTGTCAAGCCAAAGATCAAAGATCACCCTTTGGCTGGACAAAGTCATAAAAGTAATACTCTGACCACCTTTGATCAAGGAATTTGTGAGTTGCAAATGTCTGAGTTTGTGAATTGCAAATGTCTAGCAAGTCTCTTGCAGGAAACCCTCTCCGCCCCCACCAACCTAATAAGCTCTTTGTGACCTACCTGACACAGATAAACCCCACCATGGCAGCAATCATGTGACTAACTAACCCACCCATCTGCCTGCTGCCCATCACGTGACATCAGTACCTGCCCTTGCCTGCCCCTTTGTGATGACGTGGAGCACACCACCGCCCAATCACCTTAATGATCTTCCCCCATCAAGGGGAATGGTTAAAAGGACTCAACCACAAGCAGCCAGTGGCCACTGCCTTGCTAGACTCTGGTGTGGCCATGTGCTCTTTGAGCTATGGCTGTCGCCATGCTCCCTGGCTTTGGCCCCCTCTCCCACCTTGGGGAGGTGAATCTCCTCGCTCCCTTCTCTTTCTCTCTCTAATTTACTTTTAAATAAATTTTTATTTTTTAACCTCTTTGTGTGTTGCAATTCTTTGCATTACTCGGATCCCTGGGTTGCCAGCACCCACCTCCAGCTTGCCGGCCCCAGCGGGACTATGCCTCTTCCTCCACCCATCTCTTTGCTTCTTTCCCACCACCCACCCACCCTCACTCTATCTAGATCCTAACAACTATTATATCAAGGAGAGGAACAAAATATCTTTGGTCTAGGTTGGAGAGCCGGGCATGCAGGAGAACGTAGATTAAGACTCCAAGGGGCATTTACAGACAGTGTAAGATGTCCTCACCCTAGGCCTCTGGCTATGAAAGCAGTGGGGACCTGGCAGGGTGCAGAGAAGCCCCAGTGCATGTGGGCATGCTGCAGTTGGCTAGTTTTGTCCCTGGTCATCCATAGGAGGGACACTGGAGGCCACGCTGTCATAGGAAGAGAGATGCCGGATACAGCAACCTGTGTATTAAGATCTCTCTGGTTCTCATGAACTATGTTGGATTTCTTATCACAATTTTGAATCCACATTCCAATAATTCAAATCTCCAGGGCCACCCTGAGAGACTTACATATGTGTGGCTAGTTGTTAGTGTGTCAGAAAAAATGGAGGTTTATATTTGACTGCTTACCTACGATTTCTGTGATTATCTACAATTCAGACACATTGCCAGGGGAGGTCTATCCAAGAAAGAGGGATTTGGATCGTAAGATTCCTACTTGATAATAAGGATATTTTTCATTTTGTGTCATTAAGTTGCAGTGAGACTTTCCAGAGCTACCATTCCTGACATACTGGATGAGTTCTAAACATAAGTTCCTATTCTGGAGCTTGGGAACTCTGGGGGATTCTTGAGTGGCCCTCAGGGCATCTGTGAGTCCTCTAAACATGTATGCAATGTGTATGTTCACATGAATTTTTTTCTGGGAAGTTTAGTTAGACTTCCTACGGGGTCCACAATTCCACATCAGTTGGTGCTGAAGCTAAAATGTAGATGAGGCTAGGGAAAGTGAGAGATGAACACAGCTGGCTCATAGCTAGCGGTGGGGGTAAGGCCGGAGAATGCCGAGGCCAGGGAGATCACCAGTCACAATAATGTCATTCTTCTTCTTCTCCAAACTTCTGCCACCACCCCAAGATTCACTCACCAGATAGATAGCTTGTTTCTCTTCCCCTGTCCACCCACAAACAGACACACTAAGAAGCCCTGCAGTAGTCAAACAGCAGGCGTGCGGGGCAAGATAGCCCTACCTGTGCACAGACCAGATAAGTAGCCAGTGACAGAGGAGTGTTACCTTGCCCTTAGGGTTCTTCTGATTGGCTGGGTACAGGAAGATCCCTCCATAAACCAGGGTGCGGTGCACATCAGCCACCATGGAGCCCACGTACCTGGCCCCATAGGGAGCACTACCGTCCTGGAAGCAGACAAGAAAGAGATAAGATCTAGTCGGCTTGGGGACTAGCCAGCACCAGTTCTGGGGTCACAAAGTCCAGCTGGTGCAGCCTCTGCACTCCTGACCCTCTTCCTCCACCTGCTGGAATTCAAAACATTACAAGCTTCTCAAACTTCAACCTGTGATTGAATTCATTAACGCAGGACTGCTTAATGTAAGTGACAACATCCTATAGCAATCTTTTATTTCTTTTCTTTAATTATAAAGATGTGGAGTACACTTCAGGGTTAGGTATACAAATGTTGATTATGCAGGTACCTTTGTTGATGAGGTATGCCCCACCCTCCCTGGTAGTTTCCCTCACCTATAGCAATCCTAAGAGAGCAGCTAACCTCCCTCCCTTCCAAAAAAAGAAAGAATGAATGAAAAAGAAAGAAAACAGGAAGTCTACGGAAACGATGGTTGTTTGGCAGCTCCTGGAAGCTCTCGCTTGGGTTACTATGGTCACGGCACTTGTAGCTGTCTGAGAACAAGAACTCCTTGACAATGACAGCTTGCACTTGTTGCAAGCAGTGTTTAGCCATGGACAACATTTTAAATAGCTTTAGCAATCATTTAAAGAAAGAAAACAAGCCGGGCTCAGTGGCTCAGCCTGTAATCCCAGCAGTTTGGGAGGCTGAGGTGAGTGGATTGCCTGAGCCTGCGGGTTCGAGACCCACTTGGGCAACTTGGCAAGACCTCATCTCTACAATAAATCAAAAAATTAGCAGGGTGTAGTAAAGCGTGCCTGTAGTTCCAGGTACTTGGAAGGCTGAGGCGGAAGGATCGCCAGAGCCCACCAGGTCGAGGCTGCAGAGGCTGGGAGCGGCCACTGCATTCCAGTCTGGGTGACAGAGTGAGACTCCAACTCAAAAAAACAAAAGAAATAAAACAACTTATCTGTAAACTTCGATCCTGTTAGCCACACAGGTGATGAAAAGAATATTTGTTCAGAGAGAAGTAAGTCAAAGGTCATTTTTCTTATAGTAGGCGTAGCAAGTAAGGCAACAATATGATTAAACTGCTCCCTGAGGCAGGCTTGTTTTTCCCCTATACAGTGATCCATCTATGGTTTCTTGTCTAACCTAATAACTCTCTGACAGTGCAAGGGGAAGGAGCAAATTCTTCAGGGCAGCCCTCCAACATTTTGTGCTCTAAAAAAGTCTGGATTAACTCAGCACGGTATCAGTAATGCGTAATGACAAGCTTAGACAAGAAAGAAAGAAAAAAAGGAAGTCTGACAGGAACTGCAGTTATTGTTGTCCAACATAAGTACTTTGGCAAAATCAACTGTCCAGACTTTAAAGGCTTAAACACAAGACAGAGTAAGTAACGGATTAAGGGTTGAGTGAAAAGGTGTACCCCAAATCTTTAAAATAAAAAAAGAGAAAAACAACTTTTCAATTTAAAAATAAAGCATTTCTTCCAGAATAAAAAATAAAAATAAAAAAAGGGAGTGAATACCAATAACACCAGAGGTTGCAAACTGGTGTCCTCTCAAGGTGTTGTGGTTCAATGAGCCAATTCCAAAAAGAGCTAAGGAAAAGCAATCCAGGCATAGGGAATGAAGGAGTGAGAAGGTCAAGTGTTCTTTAAAATGCAAATCTGTTCTTATTGCTGCCCCACCGAAATTTCTTCAGTGACTTCCTATGCACCTCCAGGGACAAGTCATGCTTGGTGTGGCCATGGCGCGTCCATGTGCTTGCTTGCCATGAAAGCCTTGGCCCTCCACATGGCAACCATGCTGTAGTCACCTCAGGTCCTGGAATATACCAGGCTTACAGCAAACTCCAGAGAACACTGTCCAGTGGAAGTATATTGTGAGCCACATATGTGATATAAACTTTCTGGTATGTAATCACATTAAACAAGTAGGAAGAAGCAGGTAAAACAAATTTTAATGATAGATTTCTTCTAACCCAATATATCTAAAATATTACTATTTTTACATATAATCAATGTAGAACATTATTTTATTTTATTTTACTAATTAATTAATTAATTAATTTATTTTTGAGTTGAAGTCTCACTCTGTCGACCCAGACTGGAGTGCAATGGCTGCTCCTGGCCACCGCAGCCTCTACCTGCTGGGCTCCGGCGATCCTTCCGCCTCAGCCTTCCAAGTGGCCGGAATTACAGGCTACCACGCCCGGCTAATTTTTTGATTTTATTGTAGAGATGAGGTCTCGCCTGCCCAGGCGGGTCTTGAACCTGCGGGCTCAGGCAATCCACTTACCTCAGCCTCCCAAAGGCGCGGGATTACAGGCTGAGCCACCAAGCCCGGCTAGAACAATATTTTCTATTTCACATTTTTTATGCTAAGTCTTTGAAATCCTGTGTTTGTTTTACACTTAGGGTACATCTCAGTCCATACTCATTGTATTTCAAAGACATCTGTGCCTAGTGATTATGGCACCGAATAGAGCAGGTCTGGACATGAGCACAGGCTGTTCCACCACCTTGACCTCTCCTTCCATCCTTCCATCCCCACTTTCTGACTTCACTGGATAATGGCTACTCATTTCTCACTTAAAGGGGGTCTTTTGGCTGGGTGTGACGGCACATGCCTGTAATCCCAATATTTTGGGGGGCTGAGGCAGGATGTTTGCTTAAACACAGGAGTTTAAACTAGTCTGGACAACATAGTAAGACCTCATCTCTACAAAAATAAAAGCAGCCAGTTGTAGTGGCATGCACCTGTAGTCTCAGCTACTCAAGAGGCTGAGTAAAAGGATTGCTTGATTCTAGGAGTTTGAGAGAGAGCGAGACCACAAAAAAACAAAAAAGGGTCATTTATAACTCACTGAGTCAGAGAAAATCTCCCTTGTTCTGTGCTTCTAAAGCACTCTATAATTTTATTTCATAATCTTCACTGAACTCATTCTTATTTTATTCATCCTGTCGTAAGCCCCATGAGAAGCGTGGCTGTCTTGTCCAGAGCCATATCTAGCCCAGCACCTGGCATGTGAAAGCTATTCAAGACTCATCTTAATAAATAAGTTTTTCCCTACAAAACCTACTTCATAAAATTGGAAGAGGTAACTATTCCACCTGATATGCAGAAATCAACATAGGGTCCCATCAAGCATGAAACATTACAACTCCAAAAGAACACAATACTTCTCCAGTAGCATACTCCAATTATAAGGAAATATACAAAATGCCAAAAAAAAAAGAATTTAAAATAATAATCTTAAGAAAACCCAATGAGATACAAGAGAATAAAGATAGACAACAAAATCAGGGGGAAAATAATTCATTATTTGAATGAAAAGTTCAACAAAGAGATCAATATCATAAAAAAGAGACAAATAGAAATCCTAGAGTTAAATAATTCAATAAGTGAAAAAGAAAAATACAATTGAGAGCTTCAGCAACTGACTAGACCAAGCAGAAGAAAGACTTTGTGGACTGGAAAAAAGGTCTTGTGAAATAACACAGGCAGACAGAACAAGAAAAAAAAAAAAGTATAAGAAAGAATGAAGAAAGCCTGCAAGATTTATAGGACACTATTAAGTAAAGAAATATTTGCATTATGAGCACTCCAGTGGAGAAGATAAAGTAAAAGGTATAGAAAACATATTAATGAAATACTAGTTGGAAAATCCCCAAGTCTTTGAAAAGATGTGGATATCTTGGCCCAGGAAGCTTAAAGAACTCCAAACAGATTCAACCAAAACAGGTCCTCTCTGAGGCACATTATAGTCATATTGTCAAAGACAAAGAAAAATTTTCAGAAACCAACAAGATAAAAGAATCAAGTCACATATAAAGGAATCCTCATTAATAACAGTAAAATTCTCAGCAGAAACTTTACAGTCCAAGTAGAAGCCAACATAGGACTCAAATTTCTAACCAGAGCAATTAGGCAAGAGAAAGAAATCCATAAAAAGAGAAAGAAAGAACATACAAATAGAAAAGGAGGAAGCCAAACTGTCCCTGTTTGCAGATGGCATGATCTTATATATATAAAAACCTAAAGACTTAACACAAAAAACTCTAAGAACTAATAAACAAATTCAACAAAATTGCAGGATACAAAATCAACATTCAAAATTCAGTAATACTGCTATACACAACCAGTAAACTAGGTTAAAAAAAAAAAAAAAACAAAGGCAAGACGATAATCTCATTTATAATAGGTACAAAAAAAAAAAAAAAACCTAGGAATAATTTTAACCAAGGAGATGAAAGACCTCTACAAGGAAAACTACAAAATACTGTTGAAATAAATTGAAGAGGAAAGATAACTCATGTTCATGGGTCAGAATAATTAATATTGTTAAAATAACTCGACTACCTGCAGCAATCTACAGATTCAATGCAATGCCTATCAAATTACCAATGACATGTTCCAAAGAAATAGAAGAAAAATCTTAAAATTTGTATGGAACCACAAAAGATCATTAATATAAAAGCAATTAAGAGGGGGGAAAATGTGGACACCTCACACTACCAAACTTCAAAGTATACTACAAAACTGTGGTAACAAAAGCAGCATGGTATTGGCATAAAAACAGACACATAAACCAATGGAACACAATAGAGAACCCAGAAAGTAATTAACAATATCTACAGCCAACTGATTTTTGATAAAGGTGCCAAGAACAGGAAAGCTAATCTCTTCAATTATGGTACTAGGAAAATTGGATATCCATATGCAGAAGAACAAAACTAGACCTCTGTCCCTTATCCTATACAAAAATCAACTCAAAATGGATCAAAGACCTAAATGTGAGGTCCAAAACTATGACTACTAGAAAAAAGCACAGGGGAAATGCTTCAGAACATCGGTCTGAGAAAAGAATTTATGAAAAAGATCTCAAAAGCACCGGCAACAGAAACAAATAAAAACAAATGGGATTATATCAAACTAAAAAACTTCTACATAGCAAAGAAAACAATCACTAGAGGAAGAGACAACCTGCAGAATGAGAGAAAATATTTACAAACCATTCCTCTGACAGGGAATTAATATCCAAAATATACAAGGAACTCAAACTTCTCAACTGCAAAAAATACCAATCTAATTTTTAAATGTGCAAATGATCTGAACAGACATTTCTCAAAAGAAGACATACACACGGCTAACAAATATTTGAAAAAAATTTCCACATTACTAATTATCAACGAAATTCCAATCAAACCCACAATGAGATACCATCTCACCTCAGTTAGGATGGCGATTATCAAAAAGACAAAAATACAGCAAATGCTGACGAGGATGCAGAGGAAGGGGAACGTAAACTAGCACAGCCACTCTGGAGAACAATTTGAAGGTTCTGCAAAAAGCTACAAATAGAACTACCATATGATCCAGTAACCCCACTCCTAGGTATTTATCCAAAGGAAAGGAAATCAGTATATCAGAGAAATATTTTCACCTCTGTGTTAGCTGTAGCATTATTCACAATAGCCAAGATATGGAATCAACCTGAGTGTCCAACTAACAGAAGAATAAAGAATATAGACACACACGTGTGGGTGTGCGCACATATACGTATACGATTTAGCCATTAAAAAAGAATGAAGTTTTGCCATTTGTGACAACATGGATGGAATTGGAGGACATTATGTTAAGTGAAACAAGTCTGGAACACAAACACCAAATGCTCTCACTCAACTGTAGAAGCTAAAAAATATTTATCTCATGGATGTAAAAAGTAGAACAGAGGATACAAGAAGCTGAGAATGGTAGGAAAAAGAAAGGAACAGGGAGACATTTTTAAATAAAGCTTCAAAAATTACATCTAGATTGAAGGGATAAATCCCTGTAGAATGACTATAGTTTAAAATGATCTATTCCAGAGTTTCACATAGCTAAAAGGAGGATATTGAGTGCTCCCAACAGAGAAATGATAAATGTTTGAGATGATGGATATGCTAATTATAGCGATCTGATATCTAGACATTATATATCAAAACATCACTATCTATATATATACCTATACATGCCCAATTATAACGTGTACAATTATAATATGTCAATCTAAAAATAAAATTTAAAAATAAATCATAAAAAATTCTTAAAAATGATGCGTCATCTTTAGAATTCACAGTCCCCTTGCCTCTAGGAACTCCTGCTTTATAGCTCACATCTGGCGCGGCACCAACCGATGGAAGTGGTTTTTTAAAAAATGTAAGAAAATGCTACTTCCAATTAGGCAAGTCTCCTACTCTAAAAACGGTGAAAAACAAAATTGAAAATAAAACACCAAACCCGTGAAGTTGTGTTTTTTCATTCATTTCCTGCCTCCACCCTCCATCTCCGAATAAGCTGCTTCCTGAGAACAGCCTGGGATCTGTTCCTCCTCTGCAGCTGGGCTTCTGCCCTGCCCACACCCAGGCAGGTGCACAGCTCGCAAAGGGGGAAGAAGAACCTAGGTGCACGAGGGCAGGAACTTGGCGATGAGCAGGGAGGTGCCATCTCCCTCCAGGTTAGGCTGCTCTTCCCTCCTTGATTGTTTCCAAGCAGGGTCACAGAGTATTAAGGGAAAAGGCTGGCAGTCAAAATGCTTGGGGTTGGGTCCTGGCTCAGCCACTTACCTTGGATAAGTGATTTAACCTCTCTGTGCCGCAGCTTCCCCATCTGTAAATGGGGCTAACGATAGTTCCTACCGACCTCCAAGAGGCATCATGAGATTAAAGGAGTTAATACGTGTAAAACGCTTAAAACAGGGCTTCACACATATTACTCACCCAATAAATGTGAGCTATTTTTATTATCACCTTAAAACATCAGCCCATAATTACAACATCATTCGATTATATCGTCCTTCAGTGGCATGCCATGAAACCACCTTATAGGCAAAAATTACCAAGTCCTTTCCCTGTTTTAGCTACTTAATATTTTATCAGCTCCAAGATGAAATACCTTGGGCTGACTTAACAGTGAAGTCTAAAATGAGGTTCCAGGATTCTATTTTGCTAGAAATCCTACTTCTCGGAATGCCTTCTAAGGGAATTTCCAGATATGCAAAGACAAAGTACACAGCTCACTGTAGCATTATTTATACAGTGAAAAGCTGGGCATGGCCCAAATGTGGAACAATCTGAGGAGGATTAAATAAATTATAGCACAGTGATGCTCTTTTGATGGATTGTTAATGACCAGGAAGTGCTCATGAAATAAATGTAAATAGAAAAGCAGGCTTCAAAACTGTGTTCACAATTGGATCACATTTGGTAACTACATAAGCCCATTTGCAGAGAAAACAAAACTCTAGAGAAACGCATCAAGATGTTCACAGTGGGGTTTCTAAGGGTGAAGGGTCTTATGCATGGTTTTTGTTAGCATTTTCTTTATATTTATTTGTTGCCTTCCATGTTTTATACATGAACACCCACAATTTTTATATGTGGGAAAAATGCTGTCATAAAACTAAAACATTTAAATGAGGAAAGAATCTTTCAAAAGACAGAGTAGACTACCAGGAAATATGGACGGAACTCATATTCCTAAGCTCCTGGGCTTTTTAGACCCAGAATGTCTCCACATAATATAGACATATGTTGCTGCTCTTCAACCTACCTTTTCTCTGGAAAGAAAATCTCTGAGAAATGTGTTTTTAAAAATATGGATGGATGGACAATGGATAGATAGATAGATAGGTGGGTGGATGGATGGATGGATGGATGGATGGATATGGATGGATGGGTAGGTGAGTTTACGGGAGGATGGATGGATGGATAGATGGATGGATGGACTGACAGACGGATGGATTGACGGATAGATGGATAGGTATGTGACTGGATGGGTGGGTGGATGGATGGATGGATGGATGCATGGACGCATGGATGGATGGGTAGCTATGAATGGGGGTAGCTGAGGAGGAGAGCAAGAGCCTCTGAAGGTGTAGGATACAATTTGGTATTGACTAATCACAGCAATTTGTTTTTTCATCAGGAGAAACATCCTTGGCCCACATCTGCTCGTTGTGAGAGTGTTCTGGGAAAGTTAGCCAAAGTTTAGCAGAGAGTTCTCCACATCAGCACTCTTGCGCATTCCACTCATCAAACAAGGTCAATTTTGCAAGAGTTTTTTTTTTTTTTTTTTTGAGTTGGAGTCTCACTCTGTCACCCAGACTGGAGTGCAGTGGCCGCTCCCGGCCACCGCAGCCTCGACCTGCTGGGCTCCAGCGATCCTTCCACCTCAGCCTTCTAGTAGTTGGAACTACAGGTGTGTGCTACCACGCCTGGATGATTTTTTGATTTATTGTAGAGATGTGGTCTCGCCAGGTGGGTCTCGAACCTGTGGGCTCAGGCAATTCACTCACCTCAGCCTCCCAAAGCGCGGGATTACAGGCTGAGCCACCGAGCCAGGCTTTTGCAAGAGTTTTGATGGAAAATCATTAGGCATCTGCCTCACCATCCTGATTTGGCTCCTTCTGACTTCTTATTGTTTCCTGATCTTAAAAAAATCTTCAAGGGAGAAAAAGGAACGCTTCTACACTGCTAGTGGAAATGCAAACTAATGCAACCTCTTTGGAAAGCAGTGTGGTGATTTATAAAAGAACTAGACATTGACCTTCCATATGATGCAGCAATCCCCCTATTGGGAATATATCCAGAAGAACTCAAATCCTTCTACAAAAAAGATACCTGCACACACATGCTTATTGCAACACTATTCACAATAGCAAAAACATGGAACCAACCATGCTGCCCATAGAAACTGGACTGGTTAAAATTAATGTGGCACATATATACAATGGAATATTATGCAGTCATAAAGAAGGACAAACATTTGGACTTCGCAGCAACTTGAATGGATTTAGAGTCGTTCATACTCAGTGATCTATCACAGAAACGAAGAACACCCCACATGTTCTCACTCATAAGCGACCCTGAACATTTACCATAATACTATAAGAAAGGGATTGGCGGTAGCGGGATACGGCCAGGGCGGAGTGGGGGGTAGGAGACGCAACATCAATAAGGGTAACTGATCTCAAACCAGGCAAAGTGGGGATCAAAGGGAGGCCCAAACTTTACCTGCACTTTGACCACTTGTATACCTAAATTTGAACTGTACCACACATCTTTAAAATAAAAATTTTAAATATCTTAAAGGGCACCCATTTTTTCCTAAATGAATAATGAAAAAAGACTGCCCTGATATGGTTAAATTCCCAGGACCCTCGGTTATTTAGAGATGGACTAAATGACTGATACCATCACTTACAAACGTCTCTTGAACTTGATGGAGCTTTTATTGAGAAATTAAGTTTGTATTTCTTATTTTTATCTTTTTTTAGGGGAGGCAATCTCACTCTGTTGTCCAGGCTGGAGTGCAGTGGTGTGGTCACAGCTCACCACAGCTTTAGCTCCTGGGCTCAGGCAATTCTTCCTCCTAAACCTCCCAATTAGCTAGGACTATAGGCACGCACCACCACACCTGGAATTTTTTGTAGAGATGAGATCTTGCTATGTTGCCTAGACTAGTCTTGAACTCCTAGGCTCAAACAATCCTCTAACTCTGTCTCCCAAAGTGCTGGGATTACAGGTGTGAACAACTACATCTGGCATCTTATTTTTATCTTTTAATTCCATTTTTCCGCAAACTTTTTGAGGTCCCCTTCTATAATTATTTCCTCTAAAAGAAAATGTAGCTGAGTGACTGAATCTCTAGGTTGCAGCTTAGCAAATGATTTAAGAGAGCTTCTGGCCTGAGCCTCTGAATTTTGACAATGTGAACCCTGTCTTCTTTATAAGTAATTTCTTCTGGAAAAACTTGAAAGTAAAAGAAAGTATTATCTTTAGAAGGCAAATTTTCGCTATAAAAGATAGTGATTGCTTCTAAGTCCACCAACCTCATACTGTCCAGAGCCATAACCAATGGCACCAACCTCTTTCAGCAAGGCCTCTGAAGCCATCACCGGAAACAGGACCCCATGGAGACAGCATTCTCCCTACTACTGGTATGGGTTGCTTCACTCACCTCAGGGAATTTCTTTTTCTGCACATATTCAGTGGTGGCAGCATCAAAATACTTGGCATAGCCCTCATTGAGGCTGTAAATCTTCCCTTTCTTCTTAATCTTGACATCTTTTTCCACTAGGACAAATTCACCAAGAGCCTAGAAAGATGAAGAGAGACACTGGAAAGTAGAGAGACACCCGTAAACAGAAGTCAACAGAATACTCCACAGCAATCAAGGAACATTAGAAGATGGGGACCTGCTGGTAGAACCCAGGACTTTGCTGTGATCTTGTTTGCCCTGTGGTATGTTCATGACTGGTAGAAAGAACAGCGAGAATATAGAGCCCACACTGGAAGCTCAAGAAGTAAGATAACAAGAGATTTAAAAAAAAAAAAATCAAAGGGAAGAGGGCCCATGGCCTTTTTTCTTTTCCTTTAAACCTTCTACTGTCATTGAAGCTCTTCATTTAAAAGGAACCTGACTATATTTATCTCCCAAGTTCTAATTCCCAGTTTAATGTTTTCAGGAAGATTTTGGTCATCAACAATGACAGGAATAAGTTATATCATGTAAAGGGGATGCATTTTGACCATTAATCTGTGGTCCATTTATTTTGCTTATCATAGTGATTCAATCTTGAATGCCAATAAAAGTTCCTGGTATGCCAACCATTCCTATCTAAGGGAAAGAAGAAATCCTCTCAGTCAGAAACTGTCCACTTGGCATAAGAAAAAAGTTGGTACAATATATAAACATTCTCAGGTTTTTTAGTAAAATTGTTCCCAGTCTCCCTGTAGCCTCCATGGTCAATGCGTACAGGACATTCCTCAGACACTTTTTTGTCTAATTCTGGTTATTCCTATCTATTTCTTAATCCTAAAGACGTTATCAGCTAGCTGCAGATATCACTTTAAATGCCATTGTCTCTCTTAGTCACTAGGAGAAAAATCAGGGTCTGGAAACCAGATCCACTTTGCTGAGTGTCAAAAATTTTGAGAAGCTGAAAAACTCCCCCAGTTGATAGTTTACAGCTGGAACCTAGTCCAGAAGGTTCCCAAGGAACATTAAAGATATTTCCAGACCATGAAGAGGGAAGGCCATGCTGTCCATGTGTGAAGCAAGAGATTGACAATGACACTCTACAACTACAAAAATAACTAAGCATTCCTCTCTTCTAACATGAGTGATGATAACTTCTTTACCACTGAATCTCTACCCTCACTTTAATCTTCCTGTCTCCTAGATAAAAATTATTAAGATATCTAATCATGAATTGCACCCACCTCCAGACAACTCCAGTCCAAAACAGACCCTCTCTTCCTCAAATCCTCCGTAGAATCATCAAGCAAAGACCTCAGTGTTATAATGAGCTCATCCCAACTCACTCTTAGCACAACACTTCAGTTCCTCTGGAGGGCATCCCTCTTGCCTACTCCCCCAACTTCTTTTTATTATAGGTATGCTCTTCATGGCTTTGTCTCATAAGTTTTAATAACTCACTGTGAACATTTGTTGCTTTGGAGCAGCCCAGCATTGAGTTCTGTTTCTGAAAAGCACCCTAACTTCCTTCGAAGGACTCACTCTTCTTGTTGGATGCCAGCCTAGGAAGACTCATACTTGGGCCTCTTATAGACCAAGGTCAGACATGTGACTTAGCTTGAAAATTAGAAACTTCTCCCTGGCATTTGAAACCTGAGCAAAAGACACGATCAGGGGTGGTGTCTAGACCAGATTGGCCATGCTACAAGACCATTCCTGTGCTTCCTGCTCCTGGTCCTCTAGAACAGAAATGTGAAGAGGGCAGGTCATGCTGTCCGTGTCTGAAACAAGACATTGACAATGATATTCAACAACTACGAAAATACCTAAACACTCCTCTCTTCTGTCTAACATGAGTGATGACGGCTTCTTCACTGAGTTGTTATTAGTTGTTATGAGAACGGCTTAGGAGCACAGCTTGTGATGGTGAAGAGGGGCTGTGGTTCTAGCATCTTGAAGTGCCCATTCCTTGCCGGGGTCCTCAGCTTTCCCACCAATGCAGTAATTCCTTTCACTTAACTAAGCCAGGATCATCTTCCCTCTTGCTTATCAGCAAAGTACATGACAGATAAAAATGGTCATTTAAGCAATGGTATTCACTAGCCCACCTAAACAGAGGAGCCCATTCTGTATCCATGCAGGATGCAGAGACCTTGTTTATCTATCCCTGGGCCTGGGGGTGGGACTCTCAGGTTCCTGGAACATTGTTTCCTGTTGTGAGGCAGAGATGGTGGCAAAGCCTTACCACAATCTGGAAAATATGTTCCTTTGATTGTGTGACCACCAACAGCCACCGACTATCAATATGGCCTCTCATATACTTTGATTAGATGGTCTCTCATTATCAGGTATCAGATCCTTGCCACTCAAAAACAATAGCTCTCTCTAAGGGGTATGGTGGCTCATGCTTGTAATCCTGGCACTTTGGGTGGTCTAGGCAGGAAGATCGCCTGAGCAACATAGCAAGACATTGTCTCCTCAAAAAAATAAAAAGATTAGCCAGGCGTGCACCTGTAGTCCCAGGTACTTAGGAAGCTGAGGCAAAAGGATAGCCTGAGCTCAAGTGGTTGAGGCTGTGGTGAGCTGTGATCATGCCACTGCACTCCAGCCTGGGCAACACAGTGAGACCCTGACTCAACAAAAAATAAACAATAACTCTCATTTGCAAATGAATGCATCAAGAAAGTGACACAGCAATGTGTCTTGGTCTCATGGGTTTATTTGTAGAAAGATTCCATTTGGAAAGTTCCTAGGCTTCTGTACCATAAATTCTATTCTGTCTTCAAATGTCGTAGCCCCCCTCCCCCATCACACACACATGCATTAACATGTAAACTCCACAGGGCTGGGATGTTTGTTTGATTGGTGCTGTATCTCCCTGCCTGGAATGGTGCCTTGGAACATAGAAGACGCTCAATAAACATATGCAAATATGAGTTAAATTGAAACAATGAACCTTAATCCAAGTGAATACAGGAGACTTTGAAATGATCTCTGGTGAACATTATCCAAGTTTTCACAAACCTGACTATACTTGGCAATGATCTCACAAGGGAAATGGCGAAAGCATCCAGCATTCATAAGTGAAAGTCACAAAGCATTCTATTGGCTGGTACTGCTCTGAAGAATCCATGCTTCTGCCTGGAAAGTGGCAGCATTGGGATTCTTAAATCATGCTGCTCCCATAAGCCAAAGAGGCAGAATGCATTTTTGGAAAATAAACTCCTCCAGGACAGGGCTTGAGTTGATACAACTGACTCTATGGGACTGTCCCCCACCTCACTCGGACAGAGGTTCTTCGTGTTTTCTGATAACTCTGATTCCCCAAACCTAGGCTCTCAATTTTTGGACACAAGTATTAGAAATGACCAGGCGATTATCCCAGAGGACTAGCATTAAAGCACAGAGGCCCATGGGCTCCCCGAGTACAGAGGCCATCATATTCTGTACCTACCGGGTCGAGCATGAAGAGGTCCACCCCTTGGCCCGTGGAGAGAGCCACCAGGGTTGCACTACCATACAGCGCATAACCCGCGGCCACAATGTCGCGGCCGGGTTGCAGGGCGTCCTTTTCGGAAGGCTCATCTTCTGTGGTCTATGGAAGACAGGAAGAAACGTGGTAGGTTACCATTGTCTCTGCAGAGAACCGTTCCCCAGAGGCCTGGGCTTCAGCGCTCTGTGAGCCACTCACTAAAGGAAGGGCAGTTCTCAGAATTTCAAGCTGGAGCAAATGTGTCCAGAGGAAAGGAGCTGCCATGTTAACAAACAGTTTCAGCTGAGCCACGGCTAAGGCCACTCTTGGCCCTCTTCCCTTCTGTTTCCCAAACTCATTCATCTGCATCCTGCCAAGAAAAGCACTTCCAAAGGCCAGAACCACAGCCCCCTTCATCATCATAAACCATGCTCCTAAGCCGTTATAATAACAACTGAGACCACCAAGCTCTGATTCTGTGTAGGATCTCATTCTACACACTCAAAGACCTCGAACCTGAGCAGTTGGACGACTCACCCACCATCAGAAAGCCTTGGAAATGGACTCGAACCCAGGCAGCTTGGCCCACAGCTCGTAACTGTTCTGCATGCCGGCCCTTGAAGACCTGGCCCCTGCCTGTCCCTCCTGGAGACCCCTGGCTACAATTCTGAGCACTCGTTCCAGGAAGGCTTTCTCTTTGGCATGGCAACACTAACAACGCTGATGTCGGTGGAATTCAGAGACAAGGCAGGGGTGTTGAGGAAGGGACAGTGGACATTCTCCATGGATGGGCAGAGCAGCAGTTGACACTCAATTTCTTTTTTTTTTTTTTTTTGGTGGGGGTTGTGTGTGGAGGAACTGTATTTTTTTTCAACATTCTTCAGACAGATTGCTCCCCAAGAGTGTCCCCTGCGCCCCACCTGCCAAACTCCCCTGGACCCCACACACCTGGTATCTGGGGGTTGGTGGCCTCATATCTGCTATGCTCCCCTGAACCTCTCCCAACTCATATCTGGGGGCTGGGGGCCACGCCGCATTGCCGAAATAGGATGAGCAGCCATGTTTCTGCTCCCCCTACCTTTTTGTTGAGTCGGAGTCTCACTCTGTCACCCAGGCTGGTGTGCAGTGGCACGCTCATGGCCACTGCAGCCTCGACCTGCTGGGCTCAGATGATCCTTCCGCCTCAGCCTTCCAAGTAGCTGGAATTACAGGTGCGCACCACCACACCTGGCTAGTTTTTTGATTTATTGTAGAGACAAGGTCTTGCCATGTTGCTCAGGCTGGTCTCGAACCCCTGGGCTCAGGCAATCCTCTCGCTTCCACTTCCCAAAGTTCTGGGATTACAGGCATGAGTCACCGTATCCAGTGACACTCAATTTCATAACTTGTTTTTCCTGATATCTCTGGGGGCTTCCTTTCCTCCCCACCTTCCAGTGCTCTAATCGGCAAGTGAATAAAATCTCACAAATTTGGAAATATGAATAGCAAACATCTAGCTTCCAGTGTGAGGAGCTGAGCAGGGCTGGGGGCATATGTAGTTCTTCTCCCAACCCTCATCAGGGATTCCAACAGCACCACAAACCCCATAGGAAGGGGTGGGAATTCTGGACAAATACTCGGGCTCTGTAGCTTAACATCATGTGAGTGGTCAATGTGAGAGGAGTTTGAGGCAAAGGTGAATGGACAGACTTTGATCAAATATTTCCAAACAGAAAATCCAGCAGATTCAGCCTCATAGACTGGGGCAAATGGGTCTGACATATGTGGCAAGTTGAAGCCCCAGACTCGCTTCACGTGGCCCCCACACCCAGAGAAGAAGGTGTTTCGTGTGCTGGGTTAGATCAGAACTTGGGGATCTCGCTGGGTCTGCATCATTCAGTGGTCTCTACAGTCTGTTTTATAGCACAGCTACCCTGGCTATTTAAAATGAGCGTCCTTTTCGGAAGGCTCATCTTCTGTGGTCTATGGAAGACAGGAAGAAACGTGGTAGGTTACTGTTGTCTCTGCCGAGAACCATTCCCCAGAGGCCTGGGCTTCAGCACTCTGTGACAGTCTGACAGTTTTATTTTAAAAGCAAATCTTATTCCTTGCAGAATGAAATGTCCATGTAATACTTTCTTCCTGTGTTTTCTCTACACACCAATGAGTCTTTGGCTAAAACACAGATCTGTAAGTATTATGTAGAACTTTTCAGTTGACCAGCCCGGGCAACATATCAAGACATCGTCTCTATAAACAAACAAACAAACAAACATCATCTCTATAAACAAACAAATAGAAAATAAATAAAGTTAACCAGGTGTGCTGGCATGCACCTGTAGTCCCAGCTACTCAAGAGGGTGAGGTATAAGGATCACCTAAGCCTAGAATTTGGAGGCTGCAGTGAGCCGTGATCATGCCACTTTGCTCCAGCCCGGGTGACAGAGTGAGACTCTGACTCAAAAAAAAAAAAAAAAAGAAATCTCCAGTTGAACAGAAAATTTCAGAGAGAATTGGACAAAGATGGAGGTGGAAGACATACTTTTAAGATGATTAAGATAAGAAGTAAATATGTGACTGGGCGTGGTGACTCAAGCCTATAATCCCAGCACTTTGAGAGGCCAAGGTGAGAGGACTGCCCGAGTCCGTAGGTTCGAGACCAGCCTGGGCAACATGGTGAGACCTCGTCTCTACAATAAATCAAAAAATTAGCCAGGCATGGTGTCGTGCGCCTGTAGTTCTGGCTACTTGGAAGGCTGAGGTGGAAGGATCTCCTGAGCCCAGCAGGTCAAGACTGCAGTGGCCGGGAGCATGCCACTGCACTCCAGCCTGGGCGGAGTGAGTCACCGAGTCAAAAAAAAAAAAAAGTAAATATGCAAATAAAATACTAAATAAAACAATACAAGACCTCATATGATACACACATTGGAAATATGTCAGTTGTGCTAATTAACTCTCCAGAAGAATAACTTCTTAAGAGTAAAATAAAATGACCATAATAATCTGAACCTATATGGGACTTCGTAGCTTTCAAAGCTACGTTTTTGGGGAACAATGGGGAGGCTGTATAATCCCCACTTGAAAGAGAGGAGATGAAAATCTGGAGAGGCACTGGCACAACATCTTGAAACCAGTGAGTGGCAAGGCCGGGACAGGACTTGAGTCCCTGCAGGCCAGGCCCACGTTCCTCCAACTCACCTCAGAGCACGAGGTGCAGGTTGGCCCTCTGCTGGTCACAGTCTGACAGTTTTATTTTAAAAGCAAATCTTATTCTTCCTTGCAGAATGAAATGTCCATGTAATACTTTCTTCCTTACTTTTACAATCTTCCATTCTTTCCAAAACCTACTTTATCTATCTATCTATCTATCTATCTATCTATCTATCTATCTATCTATCAATCAATCTCATCTATCTGTCTATCTGAGAACATTTTCCATTTGAGCATGTGTTCAATTATTCCCACCAGTCCGCCAGGGAATCCCCAGGCACCCAGAGTTTGCGAAGTGCTCTAAAGCGGGATCTCTTAAGAAGCTTCAGAAAAGCAGAAGGCAAAGGCAGGATTGAGTTTCATAAATGGAAATCATTAACCTTTCCCCACTGAAGCTTCTGCACATCCCTGTTCATCCATAAGAGGATCACATTTTCTGTGTAGGAAACCAGAGTCTTGCTCTGCCGATCTCTCTGGACCGGGACAGGTCATGTCTTCTGAGCCTCAGCTTGGCAGCCCCTGTGGCTTCTCCATGGGCTCCACCCACTGGCATTTAATCCCAGGGAGAATCCCCTGGCTTGAAAAAATGCACAAATTTTTTTCTAGATCCCAAGACTTCACTTCAGCGACTACCCTAGCTCTGTCTTGGTGCTCGCAGACAAGCGTCTAGTTGCTGGAACCTTGAATGCCTTCTGCACCAGCCACTGTCCCTGTCCCACTCTGCTGCGGATGGGCAGATATGAGTTTTGCTACTAAGTGTGAGGGACATCTCCAGTTCCCCTTGCACCCGACCTCTCTGTGGCACTGGACCGTGGTTGCTGCCTCCTTGACATGAGCCTTTCCTACGTCTGTCCACTTCCCTCTGTTCTGGACTTCTTTCTGACTCTGTGGGTGTGCTTCTCATTTGCTTCTGACAACTCCTCTTCCTCCAATGACATCAATGTTTGTGTGTCTAACTGTATTGTGACTCACCCCACCTCACACACCACACACATACAAATTTGATGGGGTCCAGGATAGATTCCTGACTAAAACTGGCCCAATCAGAGTCTCTCCTTCAGAAATCAGGAATTCAGTACAACATTTTGGCTGATATAAACTTAGAAGCCTTGTAAATTCAGATGTTCTCACCTCAATGGTCTGGTCATAAACACTCAGTGCTGCTTCCTTAAAGCCTTTAAAAATAAATTTTTTTTTTGAGCCTGTCACCCAGGCTGGAGTGCTGTGGCACAATCAGAGTTCATTGCAACTTTGAGCTCTTGTGCTTAAGCAATACTCCCTCTTCAGCTTCCCAAGTAACCGGGACTACAGACACCCATCACCACACCCAGTTAATTTTTTTGTAGCGCTAGGGTCTTGCTTTGTTGCCCAGGCACATCTCCAACTTCTGGTCTCAAGTGATCCTCCCCCCTTGACCTCTCAAAGTGGTGGGATTACAGGCATGGGCCACCATGCCCGCCCCCGGCCTCAACACATTTTCATTTGTGTGTTTAGTGTCTGACTTTCCTTCTAGACTGCAAATAGCATGGTGGAAGACACTGACTCCATCTTGTTTATATGTTTCCCCACCATCTAGCACAACCTTGGCCATGGTTGTTGCATTTAGTTAACAAACATACATAGAGATACACATATATGCACGTTTATACACACACATATACGTGCGTACATGTAGTGGTTTTCAACATAAGAATCTTATATGTGTTTTTTTAGATGTACACGATTCCATTTTTGAGCAATCATAAATAGTATATATTTTAAAGTTTAATTACCGTGTTTATTGCCCATATTTAGAAATCCAACTGGTTTTTGTATGCATATCTCATACCCTGTGATCTTGCTGAACTCATTAGTTCTAGGAAGTGTTTTGGTTATTTTGGTTTGTTTTTTGTTTGTTTGTGGTTTTTCTTTAGTGTCTTGTTTTCATAATACTT